CCAGACAACCGAGGGGGCAGGATGCACCTCCGCTCTTGACCCTAATGGGTCTGGGGGCAGTTTACAGTCACACTATTAGTGGTGAAAAATTATCCTCGCCTGCATCCCTGGGCAACACACAGACCTATTAATGCCAATCAAGTCCCACGCAGACCAGAGAGAGATTATGATCTAAGCAGGCCAGAGATGGAGAGATGGTATCAGCTCTCTGCTTTCAATCAATGCTGGCTGATTCTAATAGGCATTGATTGCATCAAAACCTTGATCCCAAATCGCAGATGTGATTATGTAATGGGGGGCCGTGACATTTTATTGAAAACAATGAGCCTGGCGGTACAGGCTGGAGGAAATATTAATCTTACTGTGTCATGTTACTGAACTCTGTCACTCCTTTGTGGTCATTTTTTGATTTATGATATATGTGTGTTGTGGCGATTACTTGTGACAGCTGAGCAGCTGTCTAACAGTAGCATGCTAACAGAAGTATGCTTGTTATGGTCGAATTGCATGTTTAGTCAGTGAATTAAATCCAGTTTTGTTTAAGGGTTAGGATTATTTTTTTATTATTGGCAGTCTGATTAAATTAAGAGTCAAGAAGTAGATGTTTAATGTTTTATGTTAAAAACATAAAATCATAAAAAACATGAATCGTTTTTAGCCGATTCCATCTTCAAAAATCGGCTAAAAACACATCTCTTCCATCTTTATTTGACCCTATAACTCTAACACTCTCTATTCTAATTCTATTCTTTAAAATAAAAATGGCCCCTCTTATGCTGCGTTCACACCAAACGCGAATAGAGCGTCTGGCGCGAATGATTTCAATGTTAAGTCAATGTAAAGACGCGTTTACGCGCGTCTGGAGGTCTCGCGGCGCGAATGAGGCGTTTAGCGCGGCGCGGAAGACGCGAATTCGCCTCATTCGCGCGTCTAGTTCGCGCGAATGACGCGAATTGACGCGCGAATTACGCGAATTGAGCGTTTCGCGCGAATGGTGCTTTTTGTGCATTTACGCGTTTGACGCGAATTCGCGTCTGACGCCCGAGTTGAAAAATTTTAACTTTGGCGTCAATTCGCGCCGCGTTAACCAATCAGGAGCCTGCTTGCTGCTGTGGCGGCAGGCCCGCCCGGAGTCACTCATTCTAAATGGAGGAACGACTGATATTATCAGTGAGCAGTCACCCAGAGATTTATGACACAAGTTCATATTTCTATAGAGACAGGAATAAAAAGGACCTCGCTTGGAAGAGTGTCGGTGAGGAGATTGGGCAACCTGGTAAGTTGTAAATACACATTTCACTTTTGAGTCACGTACACGTTTATCGACCCGCGGCCTTCCCGCCGTTTTTTACAACTATTTCCCCCCTACAGCTACTTTTCGCTAACAAGATAATGTGTTTATTCAGAGGACGTGTGCAGAAAAAAGTGGAAAAGCCTCAGGGACACCTACCTGAAGGAGAAGAGGAAGGAGATGGAGAAGAGGAGTGGGTCAGCAGCAGGGTCAGTGAAGAAGTGGAAGTACTCACAGATCCTGGGATTCCTCGAGCCCTTCGTCACCCCACGGGAGACCACCAGTAACATGGGGGGGGTCGAGGCCCAGGTCATAGAGTACAACCACCCCAGGGACCAGGGAGAGGGAGAGGCGAAAGCAGGGGATACGGAAACAGGTGAGTTTTCCAATTAAGCCAATTTACAAGGCATATATGCTGTCATTGTTTACAGATGAAGAGTATAATGTAATCTCTCTATGACTATTGTTACCAACGTGTTGTATTAACATATAGTATTGTCTTGACAGAGCCTACAGATAATGAAGAGACTGATCCTAGATCCCCTGCCGCTTCTCCTGTCTCCCCAGTCCCTGGTCCTTCACCCCCTGCTGCTGCACCCACAGGTGTGTGAAGGCAATAGTACAAACAATATTTGAACATGTTACGTGCAGAAAACATCAGTACAGTATCCACTCATAGCTTTAACATTCACATAAAGGCAAAACAATTTGTGAATTAGTCCCTTTACTAATAATCATTGTATTTGTAAATGCAGACTCGATTCTATTGCAATGTATGCCACCAATCATCTGCATACATACTTTTTAACTATGTTCATTTACATGTTTATCTTCCTGATGTTTATATGTCTGAAGTATAACTTTAATTATGTAAAATATGTTAAAGCAAGTTCAAAACAATTTCACACTTGTATTTAAGCACTGGCTATGTATGTCACTCACTCCCAATATCTGGACAATTTTGTTATTTCAATTATCATCTTTCTGTCTTATTGCACTGTGTGTTGTATTTTTGATTTCACAGGCCAACAGAGGAGGAGAGGCACCCGGCGTCCCCGTGATGGTCCGTCGGAGGTGGAGCAGACGCTGCTCGAGCTCCTGAGGCGTCCTCCAGCCCCACCACCACCACAGTCTGCTGATGAGCACTTCCTCCTCAGCCTTCTGCCTTTTCTGCAGAGCATGCCGCCTCATACAAAAGAAATTATAAAATTTAAAATGTACAAATTGGCGATGGAAAACAGCACCGTTGTGCTAAATTTGGAACAATCGGACCCCCACAGCCCACAGTAGGCTTTAAAAAAAATGAGGCAGCAGGCTCTGCAGGAAACGCAGAATGCCCTCCTTCCTCTTCTCCTACATTTTGTTCCCTGAGGCTCTTCCACGTTCCAAGCGAGGTCCTTTTTATTTCTGTCTCTGTATGTAAATAGTTTGTACATGTTGTATTTTTTTAAGTTTATATTCAAATTATTTTATGTTTGGCCTGAATAAATTATTTTGAAATATGACTAAATGCCTGGTGTGGTTCTAATGCACAACAAAGCAAGTGTTTTATCACATAAAAACTTGATTTCAATATATGACACATATTCATTTTGTATTGAATGCTATTTATTCCATATCTAAATCTTGATTATATGAAACATGTATTATAATGTAAAGACAACCAATATACTTTAGTGTGTCTGGACAGTGTTGTGTGAGGAAAACAAAGAAATCACAGGACAGGTTAATTACTTTTGGAGGCTGGCTCCATTCATCATCAAAACAAAAATAAATGCCAGATTATTTTACAGTAATAACCTGAACAAAGAAACGGCACAGACCTATAGAATTATTGATGAAACTCGCCAAACTGGGAACGCCTCCGGAGGGTCTGGTGGACCCAAGTACGGCGACGCTGACCCCTACGCCGCTGTTCTGCTCTCCAGAGCAAATACAAAGCGGTAACTCTCTCGATGAATGCTCGATCAACATCAGCCATCTTGCAAACAGACAACCGCCTAGCACTTGCCCCTCCCACAAGAAGCGGATTTCGCCTCGGACGCGCGTCAATTTCGCTTCAAACGCTTGTTTTTTACGCGCGTCTATTTCGCTCTAGACGCGCGAATGCATTCAAAATGTTCAAGCGGCAAACTAGACGCGGTAGACGCGAATTTGACGCTCTATTCGCGTTTGGTGTGAACGCAGCATTAGAATGAGCCATTTTAGGTAGGTGTGGCTGACTCTTAACTTTTATAAAGAATATCTCTTTGGATTTGAGACTTTAGTCTTTGCAACTTTACAGATCTTCTTTATGCAGCAAGAGCTTGTAACACTTCAAAGAGAAAGGAAAACTTGAAATCGCGTCATATGACCCCTTTAAAAATCGAAAAATTGTGAATCGATTTTTAACTGAATCGTGACCACAAGAATCGTTAAGAATCGAATCGTGAGGTACCGAAAGATTCCCACCCCTATATGTAACCAGCGAGGTCCGGACCTCGGTCATTTTTTCATGTTCAAAAATCTAATTTGTTCTCTGAATGGCTAGTTTGCTGTTTAAAACTCCTCATATGAATGCCTGCTTGTATCAGTTTAGAGACAGTTTGCAAAAATGTTTAGCATCCGTGAAAACGATCATCGCGATCGTGAACGTGTCTAGTGAGGTCTTTTCCACTTACTTTGACACTTTAGAAAGTTATAAAGTGGGAAGTTGCAGTTTAGCCAGCAATGTCTTTATCTTATCTTATTTGCAAAAGATCTTAAATAATTTCGGTTTATTTTTTATTAGTGCTGTCAAACGATTAATCGCATCCAAAATAAAAGTTTTTGTTTACATAATATATGAGTGTGTACTGTGTATATTTATTATGTATATATAAATACAAACACATGCATGTATATATTTAAGAAAAATATGTTATATATTAAATATATTTATTTATAATATAAAATATAAATATATAAATTTATATACATGTAAATATTTTCAAAATATATGCTGTGTATGTGTGTATTTATATATACATAATAAATAAACACAGTACACATTTTTCGGGTTTTATTTTTTTCTATAGCAATATCTGGCAACACTGCATCTGGCACTTAAACCGACAGAAATTTTAAAAAAGTCCACAGACGGGTTATTGCTGACAGGACAGCACATTCGGTAAGGCAAACGCAAAACATATCATGATATTATCTGTCAGAAACATTATCAATGCCATCTGTAGAACAAGTAGGTTACAGAATGAAATGAAACAGCCTACGCAAACACTAGCCATGAAGAAGTCTATGCTATTTCATTAAGTATCCTATAGTAGTTACATTTCACAAAATCATGCTAAAACATCCATAAGAGCACTAAACAAAGTTATCATCTATATAGCAATGATAAGTAATGAAAACTATAACAGTAGCATGTATTGTTGCATGACCCCTTGCATTTGATGCAATAAATATGGTAATCTATAATTTAACAGTGTTCAGAGATATGCATTGCTAAGGACTTAATTTGGACAACTTTAAAGCAGCACTATGTAACTTTTGGTGCTCTAGCGGTTAATAAACAGAACTGCACACATCCCGCGGAAGAACATTCCACCCGGAGCTACTTCTCTAAGTTTATGTCTATGGCGATTCAGATTTTCTCAATATATATAGAATGGGAATGTGTCGTCACAGCGGCAATGCATTCTGGGAATTTAGGTCACGGGAGCTAGTGAATGTAGAGGTTTGATATTATTTAATGTTTATATTATTCTACTTAAGATCGTGTTGGAGTGGTTAAGGCTCACTTTACATCATTTGCCATAGCCCTTTGCACTGCCTGTGTGAAAAACGTGCTTTTTTCAGCGTTAGAAAGCTGAAAAAGCAGAGGCAACGTTAATTCCTGCAGACATTGATAAGGGCTATGGCTCTTATCAATGTTTGCATTAAATACCTCTGCTTTTGATTAACGCTATGTTGATACAGTAAGCGTTAATCATTCCAACGTGATCTTAAGTTGAATCATATAAACATAAAATAATATAAAATGTCTACATTCACTACAGAACTCGGATGAAAGTTAAACTGAAACAAGATGTGTCTTAATAATTGATCTCTGTCTGTAGATTTATTATATACGGTGGTTTGCAGTCAACTGTAAGCCCTCACACCACAAATAGAAGAAAATCAAATATGGAAACGTTATCTTGCGGTATTTCCTGCAGACATAGCCCTTATCAATGTCTGCATGAAATACCTCTGCTTTTGATTAACGCTATGTTGATACAGTAAGCGTTAATCATTCCAACGCGATCAAGTTGAATCATATAAACATAAAATAATATAAAATATCTACATTCACTACGGAACTCGGGTGAAAGTTAAAATGAAAGTCGGCATGGTAAACAACTCAAATAAGATGTGTCTTAATAATTGATCTCTGTAGATTTATTATATACAGTGGTTTGCATTAAACTGTAAGCCATCACACCACAAATAGGAGAAAATCATATATGGAAACGTTATCTTGCGGCAGCTCGTTGATACCCAGCCACTTGTACCCAGCATGGATTAAGTTTAATTCATTAATTTATTTGATCGCTTGCATCGTTGTTTGTTCGGCATCTCTAATAGTAAGAATCTTCAACTTGGTTCATTCAAGTCAAGGTATTTATTTGCATAGCATCCACAATACACATCGTTTCAAAGCAGCTTCTAGTAAGTTCTGTTACCTCTATAATGGCTTAATTCTTTACACTGAGCAGTTTTACTGGGCAATATGACAATATCAATGATACATGATCCACTGTTTGAGATCTAGCTATGTATTCCCCCCTTTAAAAAATAGCCATGGTTTTGCTACTCTAACCAAAAGTGTTTTTAGCAGTTAGCATATCAGTACCACTGTGGTGAAGGAGACTGAATAATGAATATTTGCAGCCTCTCAGACAAACCACAGAGCGATTTTTTATTTAAAGAGATTTACTAGTCCGTTTTATTCTAAGAGTATGTAAGTTTTCAAAACATATTAATAGTAAGCGGTCTGCTTTTTCTGTGGTGATTTGCATGTGTTTACACTGTGTGCTCCTGCGCGTGACCTAAAACATGGCGGAATCCAGCGCGGCGTGACATAGATTTCAATTATCATATATATTTTAATTAATTAATTAATTTTTTATTTTATTTATTTATTTATTTTTTGCACCCTCAGATTCCAGATTTTAGAATAGTAGGAAAGGAAAGCTTATTTATTCAGCTTTCAGATGATGTATAAATCTCAATTTCAAAAAAGTGACCCTTGTGACTGATTTTGTGGTCCAGGGTCACATATATTATATCTACTGTGTTATGCTATAGTCTTGTATTTGTTTTATTTTATTTGTATTTTTTTCTGTTATTATGTTAATCTCAGAAACCGGTAGCCAATCACGGTGCGTAATTAATATTCATCATGATTTCGCAACTTCTGCCAAAGTCTGGCGGCCAAAGAAAGTCTTGTCGATTTACGAAACGCGGCTCCGGCTCGCCGTATGTGTTCCGCTACTCTAGCACGTGTGATGCGAACACGTTTATTATCGCTTTAACAGCGGGTTTTGTGCTGTCGCGTCCAGCCGGTCCAGTATTTTACACTAAAGTTTCCAAAAATCTCATCTTCAGTTCTCCTGGTAAGTTGAGCTTTGTTGCGGAAAGCGTGTTTTTGAAGTATGCGGATATTTGAGACAAACACAACACAGTACGATACTAACGTTATATAGAAAACAAAGCCAACTTGTTCTTTATTCAACGATAATCTTTGGGATTGTAGCCGCTATAGGTGTGTAACAAAATGATGTTCCTATCGTTAACACATGGTACATGTCGCAAGCGTGCATATAAAGATAACTGAATCTGAACTCTTGCCGAGCAGTTATACATTTGAGGGATTTTATACATATTTAGCAATAGTATTCAGAGTTACTACCACAGTTACTTCTCTTTTGTGTGGTAGCTTGGTGTAGTAACGAACATTGTCACCAAATAATAACTCAAAACTACAAAACAACATGATCGAAAGCTGTTTTACAGTAATTGGAAGTGATTAAATTGTTAGTATTTTTAGACGTAAGTAACTTGTTAAGAAACTATGGTTGCCATTGTGCCATGATTCACAATGTTGTCAAGGACGGCATCACATTTGGAAATGATCAGCTATAAATGTGACTCATGCATTGAAACCTTAGGACACAGTTTTATTTGTTCATCTGCAATGTGATTTGCTGTAAACCTCTGACTGTTTGGTGAGGACAAAATGTTAATAGAGACCAAAGAAACCCATAGATCATTTGATTTGATGTCTAGCCTGCAGCTTTCACAGACCTGCTTGTTTCTTCAGGGGATTGATGTTGTTGTCTCATCACTGTGTGTGAAGTGTTTGCTCATGACTTGGAGTTTGGCCAAGTGAGATTGCACTTAGGAATTGATCTTGATGTAAGCTGCTGTTTAACAAGAACAGATAAGATCGGTGTAACCTATAAATGAATCATGTCTTCTCATGTGTCCAGGGTATGATTGGCAGTATGAAGTATATTCTGGTGACGGGCGGCGTGATCTCCGGCATCGGGAAAGGCATTATAGCCAGCAGCGTGGGAACCATCCTCAAGTCCTGCGGCCTGCACGTCACAGCCATCAAGATCGACCCCTACATCAACATAGATGCAGGGACCTTCTCGCCGTATGAGCACGGTAACCCCACACCACTCGTCATAGACGCTCATTACACTTCCAAGAATATGTATCACTGTCAAATGTTGCAGTACATGTAAATCAAACGATCTGCTTGTGAAATGCAAGCATCACTATGCATTATTTGAACCAAACCCTGACAATAAGTATTCGACTTTGACAAGTAACTCGCATGCCTCTTACATTTGTGACCCTGGACCACAAAACTAAGGGTCAATTTTCAAAATTGAGATTTATACATCATCTGAAAGCTGAATAAATAAGCTTTCCATTGATGTGTGGTTTGTTAGGATCGGACAATATTTGGCCGAGATACAACTATTTGAAAATCTGGAATCTGAGGGTGCAAAAAAATCTAAATATTGAGAAAATCGCCTTTAAAGTTGTCCAAATTAAGTTCTTAGCAATGCATATTACTAATCAGAAATGAAGTTTTTATATATTTATGGTAGGAAATTTACAAAATATCTTCACGGAACATGATCTTTACTTAATATCCTAATGATGTTTGCCATAAAATAAAAATCTATAATTTTGACCCGTACAATGTATTGTTGGCTGTTGCTACAAATATACCCCAGCGACTTAAGACTGCTTTTGTGCTCCAGGGTCACATATATAAGCTGGTCAGGCTGAATATTTGCTGGTCAGGCTGATATATTGTCCTATCGTCAGCCTGTGAGATCGCAGACACACTATAGTATCGTGCTAATTTATTTAATTATTTAGAGTGAACCAACTCCAGAGTAAGGCTAAAAGCAGCCTAATGTTAGTGTAATCTATTAACTACACATATCTTTTTAGTCAAGAAGCATAATGTTATGTCGTAAAATATTTTTAATTTGACTGAATTTGTCTACTATAACATGACCGCGGTTTAATAAAAAAAGTTATTGATTATAAGGCTTACATTTCCTCAGTTATTCAAACAGCAGCAACAAGCAAAGAAGCTCTTTAAAAACAGTCCCATTATAGTCCGTGAAGCTGTCTACACTGCATGATGAATAAATCTCTTATACTTGCATCGCACGCACATCTGCATTTTGTTGTTTCTGATGAGAGCTGAATTCAGTCTGCGAGCGCTGAACAACAAAACTCTGACTCATCTGAATGACTCTGATTGGTCATTGCATTCATAAGCTCAACAGAATTGTGTGTGATTGGTTATAACGCGCAACACTGTAAAAGTGCGTGTAAAGAAATATGATGGAACAAATAAGCCCTACTATTAATTCTATAATACTAGCCTAATAATAATAATTATTGTCTTGATATCATCATACGGTATCTCTGACTATCGTCGATACACAATACTATCGGCACAACTGTAACATGTGGGTCAGATTGCAGACAGAATCTGAAATGCAAGTAAACATGTCTATTGTGGGACCTGATATAGAGACCTGTATAACTAGAGAGCCACTTTAAAAAAAATCTTAGCAATCGCCCCATACAACCTAATAGCATGGCAACATGCTAAAACATCTTAGAGACCACATTGCAAAAAAAAACCAACAACACCACCTTAGCATCACAACCACTCACTACTTCAGAAAATGTAAAGGTGTATATAACAGTTATAAAATGTCATTTATGTGGGTGATAGTTGAGTTCTGTGGCCTGTGTATGAATGTGATGTATTCTGTCTTGTGTAGGTGAGGTGTTTGTTTTGGATGATGGGGGAGAGGTGGATTTGGATCTGGGCAACTATGAGCGTTTTCTGGACATCAGGCTCACTAAAGACAACAACCTGACCACCGGAAAAATCTACCAGTCTGTCATCAACAAAGAGCGCAGGGGAGATTACCTGGGCAAAACCGTACAGGGTGAGTCTCATATTAAAGGTGGGGTAAGTGATTTCTGGTAGCCAATGTTGACATTTGAAATCACCAAAACAAACACGCCCGTACCCCAAAAGGGTCTCGCCCCTATTTTGATAGCTCCGCCCCACACATATGTTCGCAACCCAGGCAACGATTAGTTCTGTGAAACAAAGCAAAACCAATGTTACACCGTATCTACACCGGACGCGAGTGGCGCGGCACGACAAAATACTATAGAACTCATGCAGACACGATGTTACTCACCTATCGAGAAGAAATCTGATATTTACACGGGTCCTACTTCTTGCCTTATTGCCTTAAGCCTTCTGTTGTTCCGCAGACGTTTTCCTCTTTTGTTTTTTATCCACCATCTCTTATCTTTCTGTCGCTCGGCTCGGACTGAACGCTCTCTCCTCCACATCATGAGTAGACACGCCCCTTACTGCTGATTGGCTACAAGTTTGTTTTGCTATTCGGCCCGAATCAGTTATCTAAAGCGTTTTTGAAAAATCGCTTGCCACACCTTTAATGTGTTTATAACAGTCTTACTTTCTAAACGGCCTATTTTAGGATGAGTTCACACTTGAAATTGGTTCTTTTGGTCTGTACCAAAAAAGAAAACGATACATTTAGTCCTGGTTTGCTTGGCGTTCATACTGTCATTTTAAACACTGAAGATAAAAAATACAGAACAAAAGGCCTAAGGACAAGGTCACAACCTGATTGGACTGCGTGTATATTTTGCACAGAACTTACTTACAAGAACTAACGATGCTGTATGCTGGGCTACATGCATTTATAAACTGTGAAGAACTTAAAACAGCACCGGGAAGTCCTCTGTTGCACACACAAACCAAAATCTGCTGCAAGGAGATTTGTTTGATTAAAGGTGGACCGAAGCACCCTGTAAAGATGGGTCTCGGTTCGGATGGCAGCATTCATGTATTTTCAGATGAATCACACTAATAAAGCAACTGCACCAGAGTTTTAACCGAACCAAACCTGCCAAGTGTGAACACCCCGTTAGTGTTAAAGTTCCTGTCCATGCCTGCCTGCCCCATAGATGTCCACTGTAAGTGCGGTTTCACAAACTGTGTTGGAAAGAGAAGCTGGCACGTCTATGTTCTCCACATGGTTCACAGTATGCTCATTCGTTCCAGTGGTGCCACACATAACCGATGCTATTCAGGAGTGGGTGATGCGTCAAGCTAGAGTTCCTGTAGATGATGACGATGTTGAGCCCCAGGTCTGCGTCATTGAGGTGAGAAGAAGAGCTGTGCTGCGGTTCTCTAAAGCATCATAAGTTGATCCTAGAGACCATTGATAGATAGGGATGGGTGATATCTTATCGTTTGTGATATACCGGTAAAAATTCTCCCTACGATAAGAATTAGTCTTCCCGCGATAATAACAATAAAGTCTAGTTGTTGACATTTCTGTGTGCGAACATGCGGAGCGACATGCCGGAATGTGGACTTGAAAATGAGGAGGAGTTTATCGCTAAATGAGGAGCTGCCTCTACAATCTGGAACTGGTTTGGTTAGGGCTGTAATGTTACAGTGCGACAAAAATCGCAGTGTTTCCCGTACATTGATTTATTTGTGGCGCCCACCACAATATCAAAACTGACCGCCACAAATAGATTTTCCAAAAGGCTTTGACTTCGTTGAGTAAACTGAGCACTGCTTTTCACTGCATTTCAAAATCGAAACCCGGTGCGGGTGTTTTTATATCACTATATTTCTAAAGGAATCCGACTTTCTTCAGAAAATTTTGGATGTCATTTTCATTTCATCTTGCATGTAATATCTGATAAAGCAGGGTTTGTGAGCAGAGCGCTGCTTTGTGTACAGCCGTTACTGGGGAAACCTCTATCTCTCCCGCTCTACAAGCGCCTCCTGCTGGCCGAGAATAAATTTGCATATATATGCCGCCACAAATAGACTGCAAGTCTGTGGGAAACACTGAATCGTCTAAGCCTTGAATAAATGTACTACAGTATAGGGCTGCACGATAAATCACGCTAAATCACAATGATTTCTCAATCGATATTATGCAAAAGCTGCAATATTCATGCGTGCATCTTGTCAGTGAAGCACGGTTCTGTGATCAGCAGTAAATCTCCATCCGAAGGCCAGAGGGCAAACAACTTTATTATCGCAGCGCGATTTCGTAATATCGATGTATAATATAGATGATATCGTCTGCAAATTTTTAATTTTTTTTATGCTTGTCAGTGAACTACGGCTCTGTGTAGTAAATGCTGCTCCATCTGAAAGCACGTGCTGGAGATTTACTACTGATTACAGAACCGGCTTTACTGACAAGATACGCATGAATATCGCATGCGATTTATTGTGCAGCCCTACTACAGTAGCATGTGTGCGATACAGTTTTACATGTGTATGAGCCTGTTGCCCAACAAAGATATCATTTATTGACCTGCTTTTTGTCCAAATTAACTTCATAACATGGTCGAGTGTTTGAAATAACGTTTTGTGATCAGACGTGGTTTCATATCACAGAACGAGGCAGAAATCATACTATTTTATAGTATTATATACAGTGATAAAGGCTATGTCGATTAGCATTGCATTATAAATATACTTTATCCTTATAAAAATACCCAAGATTGCTTGAAGAACACAGATAAACCATATATCGTTGCTATCGTATGTTTTATTTTCTTCAAGTTTCCTCAATTAAAACTTCTCTATCAGCGTTTTATTCGGCTACAGCGATAACTGGATTTCCTGGAGTGTAGTCAGTAGTATTACTTCTGTGATGCATATGTGGAGTTTCTGCGCAAGGGCGCCCTCCGGCTTCCAGTATGAATTAAACATTCATTACATTACGTGTGTACTCAGTAATGCTCACAACACCCTATTTTGGGTAAAAATAGGAAAGATAATAAATTTCTCTAAAGAAACAGGATTCCCTGTGTCATCGTCATTGATATCGTTATCGCAATAAATACTAGAAATTACCGTGATATGTTTTTAAGCCCGTATCGCCCATCCCTATTGTTAGATCTACTTAGGCTTACACTGCTTTTGGGAAACACAGCCCTGGACACTTCATTTGATAAAATACATGTTTTAACAGGTTTCTGATGATTGAGGCTTTGATGTGTTTTTGCAGTTGGGCGGTACGGTCGGAGATATAGAGAGCATGCCTTTCATCGAGGCCTTCAGACAGTTCCAGTTTAAAGTGAAGAGAGAGAATTTCTGCAATATTCACGTCAGTCTGGTACCACAGGTCAGGAGTCGTGTTCACATTTCCACACACAGAGCAGTGCATGAGACCATATGTCATATGAGCGTATCATACACATGCCGTGGTAATGTGAGTGACATACTGTCTCGTCCGTGATGTCCAGCCCAGCGCTACAGGAGAGCAGAAGACCAAACCCACGCAGAACAGTGTGAGGGAGCTCAGAGGACTGGGACTGTCACCTGACCTGGTGAGTCAAGCTGCATAGAGCATTTCTGCATGCAATTTCTGTGTGTGTGTGTGTGTTCGTTTTTTTTTTATTCCACAGTGGATGAATTTCAGTGAATGACTTCTCAGAAAGGGCTTTTTTATGTGTTTCATTCACTGTCAGCTCACTAAAACCCTGTAAGAGAAGTTAAAGGTGTTGTATGTAATTTTTTTTGACTGTGCTAAAGCATAATATTTGCAGATATTTAGGAAACATGCAAGTTCACATACTTTTTTTTTCTCCAAAAAACAATACCAAAGCTGGTTATTCTACTTTGAATTTTGTGACAGAATGTCTGTTTCTGTGTGACTCCGCCCACTGCCAGTTTACCTAATAGGATTTTAACACCCTGGGTTGCCAGTTGACGGAAAACACAGAGTATTGCAGTCATTGAAGCCAGCAAACGAACTGGGTCAGAGACTGCAGATTCTGCCCGACCTAAAAAGCCTCGGCATCCATCTAACAAAACTCTATGACTAGAGGAATTTTAAAGGGGTCATGACATGGATTTTTTTATTTTAATGTTTCTTGAGGTTTACTTATGTTAAAAGTTTTTTGCGCTAAAAAAAAGTGGAAAAAGGATTATTTTCCACCCTCATTCTGACCCTCTGTCTAAAACGGCCTGTTTTTAAGGGGGGGGTCCTTTAAGGCTTCTCAGTAACCGGCCACTGTTATGATTGGCTAACGTCATTGCATAGAAACAGTATCAGTGTCCCTTGCTACGTATTGCATGTTTTGACAACATAATCAAAATAAAACCATAATTTCCAGACAAAGCATTATGAAATAATTTACTTGCAGTTTGTGATGCAGCTGCAGTCAGTCAACAAATGTTTCTTTGTGAACGCTCCATGACACTGGGCCTCGTTTACTAAAAATACTATGATCAATCATCTGACACGGTCAGGGATGCCATTAAAAATAAACTATCCACTTGTTCCCGACACTGGGATCCTTCTGATATCTGTACAAAGCCGCGAACGAGAGCTGTTTAAACCAAACGCCTCTCCATTTGTCCGATTGACAGTAGACTCGATCGCGTGGACGGTGTCGGAAAGTGAACGCGCATCTGTGTACTGTATCTAATGTAGACAAGATAGCAGCAGTGATTGTAATTTCTATTTGTTTTTGACTCGTCGCGACGCTCGCATTCAGCGTAATTTGTCATCTTGCACCTCAGATCCAAAACGAGCTGTTTGTATTAAGCAAACAAAGACCTCTTCTGTATCATGACCCCATTAAAACTAAAATAAAATTAAAATATATCCATTCCAAATCCTCAATCTTGCAACCCGTGTGAACATTAGGGTGGGAGAAACAACTTCCAATATTTTGAATTTGGACTGCAGTACCCATTTCAACCACTAGCTGTCAATAAATGACATACTGCAGCTTTAAATGTTTTTATTCATGTTCCCTTTAAAAGTAGCACATCTACAGCTATCAAAGGAACATTTTTGTAACAAAATTACCACGTTTTTTTTGCATAAGGACTGTTAGTTTTGTGCATGTGAAAGTTACAGATGTTTAGCCTAGGGCTGCACGATTAATCGAATGTGATTGTCATGCGCATCTTGTCAGTAAAGCCGATTCTGTGATTAGTAGTAAATCTCCATCATGTGCTTTCAGATGGAGCGGCATTTACTACACAGAGCTGTAGTTCTCTGTAAGCAGTTAAAGGGTTAGTTCACCCAAAAATAGAAATTAGGCTGTGTTTTACTCACCCCCGATGCATCCTAGGTGTATATGACTTTCTTCTTTCAGACGAATCCAGTTTTGTCGACATGCATTGATCATACAGTTTTTTATGGCGCTGTTTTAAGTGTTGGAACAGGTTTGTAGTATTGCACCGTGTCGTTGCAATAATCATTTCACAGGTCTTGCAAATTACCTTGCTCTGTGACACATCTTCTCTCCTGAATCCAAAATACTCTCAAATGACTGATGTTGAATTTCTCTTTGGCACCAAATCATTTTTATTCTGACCTGCATCCATATTTTATGTTCTTTCCTCCCGTTCACCTATTCTGTTCTCCCGCTCAGCTTCGTCGTAATTTGCATTCTGATTGGTTAACATCTTAAACATGCGCACAAGAACATAAATAAATTAATAAATAAAATCACAGCCTTATGCGGTTTAGAAATCGCATGAGCTCAAATCGCGATTGTTTTGCGATTGCGATTAATTGCACAACCCTAAATGGGATCTAAATGGGGATTTTTTTATGTAGCCTAGGGCTGCACGATTAATCAAATGTGATTGTCATGCGCATCTTGTCAGTAAAGCCGATTCTGTGATTAGTAGTAAATCTCCATCATGTGCTTTCAGATGGAGCAGCATTTACTACACAGAGCTGTAGTTCTCTGACAAGCTACGCAAAATCGCGTTCATAATCGCAGACGATATAATCGCGCGATGAAGAAATAGTCTGTGATAGGGCTGCACGATAAATCGCATGCGATATTTAACACGCATCTTGTCAGAAAGCCG